ACTCTGACGTGCGGCTGTGATTTAAAAATGAAAGATGCGCAGAAACATGCGTACGCACGGTTTTATAAATCTGATTTTTTTTTTTTGGCGTACGCCATTTTCTCCTTTTGGCCATATGTTCATTTTTAGGATGGTTTCCACGCAATCCTTTATAAATCTGACCCCTGGTCACTGAACACCTCTTTTCTGATGAGGAAGGCCCAGCAAATACTCTTCTTTCTCAGGAAAATGAAAAGGGTTGGACTTTTTGCTCAGTTGCTCAGAAATTTCTATAAAGCGGTGATTGAGAGCATCCTCTGCCTCAGTATGACTGTGTGGTACGGAAGCTGCACAGTCCAGGACAGAAATGACTTGGCCYGGGTGGTGAAAACTGACCAGTGGATTGTGGGGGATCAGTTACCAAACCTGGACTYAATTTACGCTGGCAGACTGCAAAGGAAGGCCAGTTGTATTGCTGCTGATCCCACCCACTCAGCACAAATATTGTTTGTACCACTGCCATCTGGGAAACGATACAGAAGTATAAAGACCACAACCACTCGACTAAAGAACAACTTCTTCCCAAGAGCTGTTAAATTCATCTGTACACAATTCCATCCCCTCTATCCCCCTGCAGTCATACTCACATCTATTCGCTGCACCGTGAGGACAAATTGAGATCACAACATATATATACTTTATTATTTTATTTATTTATTTATTTATTTATTTATTTATTTATTTATTGAGGGCAACATGACAATTTTGTTATGTTCTAGAAACATAATGACAAATAAAAATCTTATGTCTTAAACAAAATCAGTTTGGAGAAACAGGCTTTTATTCTGAAAGGGCAGAATGCAGCTCTGATGCTAATTTAAAAACGATTTTGCCAAAGTTTTATTGTGGTTCATCTGAACATTTTTTATAGGCATTGTTGTCAGTTTTGCTATAAATAAATACTCATGTTGTTTTTCTTGCTCAAACTGYAGCAGCAACTAGTTATAGCATTTTTGTGCAGCCTAAGATCAGTTCTGTAGCAAAAATGTAAAACTGTTTTTGCTGAAAGTAACTGTGTAATATGAGACTTACAGTGGTGTAAAAGTTTGAATATTAGCTTTTTTGCACAAATTGTTGTGAAATTTTGAAGACTGGAGTTTATAGATGGCTTGTTGAAGTGAATGCACTGTTTTCTTTAAACAATTTATCTAATTTGCTGTTAGTGTAGTATTTTATTATTAGTTTGGTAGAAATATTATAAAATCACTGCTTCATAAATCACAGACTGCACTGGAGGCGCTACAGCTAGCTACTGCAGCAGCCATAACCATGCAAATAACCATAAAAACCTATTTAAATAACTACCAGTATGCAATAAAAAGCTGATACAGTTTTAATCTATGAAACAGGCCTACATGTTTCTATCCCTAAGTCAGCAGCCATTGTTTTTGGTCCTGTAACACCTAAACTCTTCCTTTAAACTGAGGTTATCAAACCATCTTTCTACAACAGATAAGATATTAATTCTGAATCATTTTTACACAGAACCCATTGTTAAATTACCAAAATTTTATTATTTTTACAGTCATGTTTGTTTGCTCTTGTCACTCCGAACATGTTAATAAAACAAAGGTTTAGCCATCTGCCCCTAACTTTGCCAAAGCTTTTGTTGTCATTTAAGAATTCCAACTTGTAGTTTGTGAGTTATGTCTGAAAGAAAAGCTTTGAAATGAAGTTGTGGCCAGATGCTGTTTCTTATTAGCATGGATGGAATCAAATCAAGAGTTTTCCTCATTAAATCACTTTCTGTTTCACTCCTGTTTTTCTAAAGAGATAACTAACCTGTGATTGAACCTGACATTGTGTTTTCTGCAGATCATTAAACTCTAACTCGTGTTATTGTTCYTGTTTTTTGCAGGTCGCCCACTAAGGTAAGATTCATGACAATCATAATGTAGATGATTAATCATCAGTACAATTATCCAGACCTTTTCCTAAATGCACAGAATAAATGGCTCCATCCCTCATAGCSTCTCTCACAGTCAGGAGGTGACTCACGGTGGATCCATGTCGAGTCACGTCAGCTTACATAACAAAGTTGTTCACCATCTTTCTCTGCAGCAGGAAGCCACAGCCAACAACAGCACTCCGGCTGCTGCCGCAGCTCCAGCCAAGCCTGCGCCTCCCGCTGCAGCCGGCGGCCCACCAGCTCGGCCCGGGCCGCCGGCCAAACCCCCTCCACCCTCTGTCGCTCCAACCGCCCCCGCCCGTGCCAGCACCACCGTAACCACTCCCGCCGCTACCAGCAAGTATGAGTCAGTCAGCTGTGCTACGAGTGTGTGAGCTGAGCCGCTTCATGCTGTACACACACCTTCTGTCTGTCTGTTCAGTGCTCTCGATGACGGCTTCCTGTTGGATCTGGACCCCATGTCGTCCTCTTCGGCAGGGCGTACTGCAACAGCCTCCTCCACCACTGGATGGGGAGGTGAGACCTCTGTCATCAGACAACCAAACATTAATGAATGTTACTCTGAGTTTATATTTGGAGTGCAGAGGTGGATAAAAACACAATGCTCACTTTACGTCAGCACACATCAGTTCTGAACAGCTTTAAAGCACATTGTGTAGTGATTTGTTATGTGTTTGCTTTCCCCCAACATAACTATATGTTTGAATTAGGCAAGTTTTTAGCATATTTTTAGCAAAGGATTGTCCCCACCAAGTAGCAAAAACAAGAGCACACACACACATGTTTGTTTTTATTCGTTGTGGGGACCATGCATTGACTTCCATTCATTTTCTGGTCTCTCTATAGCCTAACCCTGACCCTTCAACCTAAAACTAACCTCACCTGACCCTGTACCTAGCCTAAACTCAATTCACATCTTGGTCGTAAACCAAATTCCCCCACTCAAAATTAGCATGCCCATGGGGACCGGGCTTTGGGCCCCATGAGGCTGCGTTTTTCTGGAAAATGGTCCCCACAAGGTAGCAAAAATATGTACATGCATGGTGGTGACCATCTTGGATTTTGACATGGCAAAAAAAAAAAAAAAATACTTTTTTTTAATTTTAAATCTTTGAATATGAGGGTATTTGTTCTACCAGAGCTTCTCTCCTTGTCTGCTGCTTGTATTTTCTGTCTAATTCACTTTATTTTTCTTTTCTTACACTGAATGAAATGCCTTGTTTGATTAAGAGAAGAGAGCAATAAATTAAATGTACATTTTTTAAACAAATTTATTCATTTCATTTAAAAACAAGTGCCATGCATACAACAAATAATAATACAACGCTAATAAAATGAAAGGTAGCAGAAAGAAGAAAAAAATTCTTATTGATATCTGCCCCCTTTTTTAAAATGAATAAATTGAAGCAATAATAGTCTTCAAACAACAAAACATAACAAAAACTTCAACTCCTTCTTGAAGAATGGTTCTTATGAATGCACACTATACAAATTCATATAGTATCTCATCAACAATCTAACTTTCATCATTCTCTTAAATAAAATTATTGAGCCAGCATTTCTATAATCACTTTCCAAATTGTTCCACAATCTTATTCCTTGGACCGAAGTACAGTACATGAGTCCTTCAAATTTGTTCAAATTTTGGGCTTTACAAACATCTCTATACCCTTAAGGTTATAATTACTTACTCTCGTAACAAAATTTAATTGAATATTTAGAGGTAATAAATTTTTATTAGCTTTATGCATAACCTGCAAAATTTTATGAACAACCAACTCATAAATATTCAATTATTTGAACTGACAAAATAATATATTTAATTGGTGACTGTAATTTTTTCTGGTGATAATTCTTATGGCTCTTTTCTGTAAAATAAAAATGGGATTTGTAATTGTTTTACATGCTTTCCCCCAGAAMTCAACACAGTAAATCAAATGTGGGAAAATGATTGCATTATACAACATAAACAAAGCTTTGTCATAAAGTAAGTCCCTTACTTTATACAATACTGCAATGGATTTGGCTATTTTTGTTCTTAAGTGAATTATGTGGGATTTCCATGTCAGCTTTTCATCAATAATAGCACCCAAAAACATCACCTCATTGACTCTACAGATTTCTACATCATCAACTTGAAAAGGAAAATCAATGGCTTTGTTTCTATTAATGAATATCATACAATTAGTTTTATTCAAATTTAATGATAACTTATTTTGTTTAAACCAAGTTTGTATTTAACAAATTCTGTTTGCGTCATCCCCATCATTCGTTCTATATCTTTTCCTAAACAGAAAAATGTAGTATCATCTGCAAATTATACACACTTAAGAAGCCCAGACACATTTACTAAATCATTCAAATACAGAAGAAATAACTTTGGTCCAAGTACAGAACCATGAGGAACCCCACATGTAATGTTGCAGAGTTCAGAGCTTACATCATTTACCTGCACAAACTGTTTCCTGTTTTCCAGATAAGTAGATACCAACTGTAGTGCTGGACATCTTATATCATATTTATTTAACTTTTCAAGAAGAATGGTGTGGTCAGTGGTGTCAAAGACTTTTTTAAATCAACAAAAACACAAAAAATGTACATTTTCTGATTCTGTCAGATTTCTGGGCTGCTAAAAAGATAGCATTCCTCTTTTTTTAAGTGTTTGGTATGAGTCACTTTGTATTTTATTTTCTTGAGGTCTTTTTTTTGTAATTTGACCAATGTGTTTTGCTTTGTTTTGTTACAGATCTTTTAGCAGGGGGTGAGTATTCTAGTTTTATTTTTTGTTCTGTTTTCTAAAAATTAAATATAAGAAATACAGGAGGGTAATCTGTTTTTTTCCCAAAGTTTTCTTCTGTCTGAAATTCTTCTTTGTTCTTTGTTGGTTTCATTAAAAACAAGAACTCTGATGCTTCTCGCATTTCTCTTAACACATACTCTCTTTGAAGATATTACCTTTTCAGCCACTTTGATGCAGCTGTATCTCCACTATTTCCTTTTCTCTTCTGTTTCTGTCTGTTGGGGGATGTGATGGGGGTCTGGGGTGTGAATTATGGGGTTCACCCACAAAGCTGCTCCAGCTGCTGCTGCTGGAGCCTCTGAATCCATCAAGGCGGATGGAGAGTCTGCTTCTGCTGCTGCTACCGCTGCGCCTGCACCCGCCCCCGCTGCTGCAGCTGCACCAGCACCCACCTCGCTGCCCATCTCTGCTCCTATCGCCACCGCAGCCACAGACATCGACCTTTTCGGAGGTCAGTGTGTGCAAAGGGGTCGGGCATAGTCCAGGATGAGCAGCATGGCTGGATGCTTGCTTCCATCCTCATTTTTTATGTGCTCTGTTAAAACTATGCATCTGAAATATATCAATTATATATAATTAGTTTATTATATTATTTGTCATATCCACAAGTATTAAAATAGATCATAAAGTCTACAGGCTTTTCATGTTGTGCTACACTTTGCTACTTTTATTCATCAGCTTTTAATTTCTAATTTTGAAAGAATTATGGCAATACTTTAGGGAAAGTCTGATTCTTCTTGCGGTGAGAGATAAAACAGTTTTGCATTTTGCTTCCACATCACGGCACACACAAACAGAGCTTTATTTTTCTAGATTTCCTAATCAACTCTGACTCGACTTGCTCCATAAATATTGAATGCAGCAGAAAATATGTCATTTCAGGCACGTCTTAACTGGGTGTCTTTCAGGCTGCTCTTTTTTTTTTTGTGATGATAAAATGTGTGCAGCTGAATAACTCTACTAAAATATCATTATTCTGTTAATATGATCCTTGCATGGGGATTTTTTTTCCTTTTTATTTATTCATCCCCATTAATATTTTTCTAACAACTTACTAATGTTTTTATAAAGGTACCAAATGACTTGTTTAACTGATATTGAGAATTGTTAACAATACCATCACTCATAACCTTTAATAATTGATAAAATAAGTTGTTTGTCAAAGAGAGACTGATTTTTTTCATCCCCCAAATGGACATCCTCTTCTTGTCACAGAGTACAAATAACTTGTGACAATTTGCCTCATTTCACAAGCCTGCACAAGTAGTGCACTCACTGAATGCAGCATTATGCACCCCTCCAAAAAAATAAAACTTAGCATGTGACTGATGAGCAATTAGATCATTCACTGCTCGGACTGGGCTGCATATTTCTTGTATTCTCTGCTTTTTTTCCCTAACGCTGACCTCTCATTTCTGTTTCCTGTTCATTTCATCTGTTCACCCATCTTCTGTTCTTTACATCCGTGTGTGTGTGTGTGTGTGTGTGTGTGTGTGTGTGTGTGTGTGTGTGTGTGTGTGTGTGTGTGTGTGTGTTTTGTGGCCCGGGTGTTATTTTTGTGGCACTTTTCTTTCCACTGTTGTCGTCTGCAATACCCTAGATGCGTTTGCACCCTCCCCAGGAGACGGTCCTGCTGCCGCGGCTGCGGGTCCCGCTGCTGATGCGTTTGGTGGATCTGGTGGGTGTTTTTTTTTTGTTTTGTTTTTTTGCGAGTGTGTGAATTTATGATTGTCTGCGAATTTGAGAATTCTTGCTTTTGTTATGTTAAAGCAGCTTTTCGCTTCATTAGAGACAGTAGATGAGATCCCCACAGGGCCTACTGTCTCACCCCAAATCCTGCTAACACCCCAGTCATGAATCCTCTCCTCCTCCATCTTGACCGCTCATATTTACCCTTGATTCCTTAAGGGGACAATACAAACACAGTGCAGCTTTTAACTAATACTTCTCACAAATGAATGCTTTTTATTTCCCAATCACTGTCCCTGACAATAATAGGTGATCATTATACCAATTATTGCTGACCTTTTTGTTTATCTTATTTATAAACTCCATGAAGTCACTCTCTTTGACTGTAAGTTATATGGGACCATAACTAAGGAATAAGTGTGCAATAGTGGTGTTTAACAAAATTAGATATATTTTTTCACTGAATATCTTGATGATACTACTGTAGTTTACATAATGTTACATTTTAAAACTTATTAGCAAGAGGTGGTGGGCACAGTACTGCTAATCTGCTGACAGATTTGAGGAAAGCTAAGTTTTTAACTGTGCCCACCGCTGTTAACAGGCTTTGGCATTAACTCTATGCTGCACCCATCCTTAATGTCCTCTGACAAATGTTCAACAGATTATTAACTTTAAAAGTAATATTGAAAATACTACAGTTACATTACATTAATAGGGTTTAAAAACATTACATAAATAAGTATAATCAAACCACAAGATTCAAAACTTTCAGAAAGACCAAATTATGCTGAGTCCTGCATGGCTAACGTCGAGCCAAAAAGAAAAAAAAAAAAAACAATAGTCAGTCCAGGACTTTAGCATTGTGAAATAAAGAACAAATGGTTTTTTGGCTCTTAAAGGGGACAGATCATGCAAAATCCTCCCTTTTTTAAATACATTTTATTGTGTACTTGGAATCTTTATATTCTGTTTGGGTCATATTTTTCAACACGTTCAGTTTTCTCCATTCTCTATTACGTTTTCGGAACTAATTTGTTTTGTGCAATTTTTATTAGTGACTGAACTGCTAAATAAGGTCTGGACTTACCAACTACAATTTGGTGGTCTTCATTCTCCTCTGGTTCTGGGTCAGACTCTGGCTCCAACATGTAAGGCTGGATGGATAAGTCTTCACTTGTTGACATCTTTTACTTAATTTGTAAAGAAAACACTTCTGCACAGCTATATAGTGGCTGGATCGCAACAAAAATGTCACAGTTTCACTGAAGACCAGCTCCCTGTGAACAGGGCCTTAAAGAGACATCTTCAAAATGAGTCAATCTGAGACACACTTCAGAAAAGGGGTGAAAGATGGGCTTGTAAATTTACAATAAGGAGGGATTCAGACCAAAGCTTTGCAGTTCCACTTTATATAGACCCCAACTGAATGATTTAAATGTGAAAAAGAAGGATTTAAAAGCATATGTTTACTTTAACCCTCATGTTAAGTAGTGCACGAGGGGACCACGTACATGGAGATTAGTTGGGACTGAAGAAAAGATCATTTTATTTAACACTTGTGTTTTCACCTGATTTCAACCGTTATTGAACTCATATTTCCTTACAGGGACTATGCCAACAGTCTGTGTATGGAGAGTTTGAAAAAATACACAATACTAACAAAACAAAAGCTGACAGGACAGCGTAAACCCACAGAACTCAGGGGAACAACACAAAAAGCACAAGGGAGACTGGGACAGGAGGTTGACCAAGTTCCAGGTTGTTGTGGTATGGGAGGCAGCTGAGCTAATTGCAAATTGGCAACATATGTGGGTGGCAAACTGACTGAAGGCTGAGGGTGAAACGATGAATGGCATAGGGAATACAGGGAGGATAAACAAAATATTGATCAAAATCTGAACCTAGAGATGTAACAGAAATAAACTGATAAAATAAAACACTCTAAACACAAGAACCCAGAAAGAGTAACATAGAAACCACAAAGGGAATACATCTAAAAGTAAATTTAACATTTACTAAATAAGTAACTGAAATATACAGATCCTGACAGACTACGGTTCAGTAAATACCAACATGTAGCATGCCAATGACAGGTTGACTTTCCTTTCCAAGAGGACTCCTGAAGCAGCTGACAGGTACATGGTGACAAAGAGGGTTGCAGCTTCAGTGGTTGCTGATGCAAAACTCTGGCATGGGAGGAATTCGGGGAGGCCATGGAGAAGGACTTTTGGTTGGCTTCGTGAAGGTACTGGCAAACCTTTCAGCCACTCAGAAAAAGAAAGCATTCCATGTCCCAGGTTGTACTTGGTTTGAGTGAGAAACTGCTGACATGGACTGAGGGTATTGTTGGGTGGTGGAAGGAACACTTTGAGGATCTCCTGAATCCACCATCCATGTCCACTTTTGAGGAGACAGAGTCCATGGCAGAGGTCACCGAGGTAGTCAAAAAGCTCCTYACTGGCAGGAAACCAGGGGTGGATGAGATTCACTTGAGGGTGTTGGAAGGGATGCTCTGATCGATTGTCAAACCTTGGATTCAAGCGGAGCAGTATGGCTTTTGTCCTGGGTGTGGAACAGTGGACCAGATCTTTATCCTTGCAGTGTTGCTAAGGGGGGTCGTAGGAGTTTGGCTCTCTGGTCTACATGTGTTTTGTAGACTTGGAGAAGGCTTTTGACTGTTCCTCGAGGCATTCTGTGGGGTTGCTGCGGGAGTATGGGGTGTCTGGGTTGCTACTAAGAGCGATCCAGTCCCTGTATAACCAAAGGAAGAGATGTGTCCACATTCTTGGCACAAAGTTAGCTTGTTCTCATTGCAGGTTGGGCTCCACCAGGGCTGTCCTTTGTCTCCAAACCTTTTTGTAGTGTTTATGGAGAGGTTCTCAAGGCACAGTTGTGGAGAGGACAGTTTCTGGTTTGGAAACCACAGGGTCTCATCTCTGCTGTATGCAGATGATGTGATTCTGTTGGCATCTTTGGATCAAGACCTTCAGGGTGCACTGGGGTGGTTCACAGCCCAGTATGAAGCGGCTGGGATGGGAGTTAGTCCCTCTAAGTCTAAGGCCATGGTTCTTGACCAGAAAGGGTGGAATTCCCCCTCCAGGTCAAAGGAGAGTCTCTGCCTTCAGTGGAGGAGTTTAAGTATCTGGATGTCTTGTTCATGAGTGATGGTAGGATGGAGCGGGAGATGGATCAATGGATTTGGGCCTCTTCCTCATGGCGTTGCTACAGTCAATCATGGTGAGGAAAGAGCTGAGTCGAAAGGCAAACCTCTCGATTTACTGGTCTGTCTTATGTTCCAACCCTCACCTTTGGTCATGAGGCATGGATCATGACCGAAAGAATGAGATCCCAGATACAAGCAGCCAAAATGAGCTTCCTTCATAGGGTGGCCAGGCTCAGCCTTAGAGATAGGTTGAGGAGCTCCGTCATCCGTGGGGAGCTTGGAGTAGAGCCGCTGCTCCTCCGAATCAAAAGGAGTCAGTTGAGGTGGTTTGGGCATCTGACTAGGATGTCTCCTGGACGCCTCCCTTTAGAGGTGTTCCAGGCATGTGCCACTGGTAGGAAGCCCCAGAGAAGACCCAGGACTCGCTGGAGGGATTATGWATCWTCTCTGGTCTGGAAACTCCTTGGGGTCCCCCAGGATGAGCTGAAAGTGTCACTGGGGAGAGATATGTCTGAGTTTCTCTCCTGGACCTGTTGCCTCTGCGACTCGACTACGGGTAAGCGGAAGAAGATGGGATAGAGGTTGATTTTCTTTTTGCTGCTTCAGTCTTGCCATACAGACATGCACTTCCAGAATATCTTGCATTGCTTGAGAAACTTTTATCATGGCAGCAATAATTGCCTATATTAAAACAATGTTCTCTTCAAAACAAGTACTGAATCCTAATAGCATACTCTTTAATATTCTGTAGTCATGGTTTTGAGTTTCAAGCATTTGTCCACGAGAGTTTTAAACTTTTAAAACTTTCTTTATTGCCTAGCTGTGCTGCAATACTCACACCAACTTGTGTGTAAACAKGAACTGTGATTAACAGTAAAATGATTACCAATATCTTTCAGAATATGACTCTTCAGTTCAATGTAGACTATATTCATTATTCCAGAGGTTTACTCCCCCTCTACCTTCTGTGCAATAATAAATAGCTTTACAGAAGAAAGTTTAGATCATCACTCATGGATTTAAAAATGCACGGGGATCTTCGCCTAGATAAAATTACTGCAGTTTGCATCCTTAAAATATACACATCTGTCACCTTTATAAAGCACGCCATGATAATACTAGGTTTGACCTCCTTTTGTTTTCAGAACTGTATTTGTGGCATAGAGTAAACAAAAAGGTATTTTTTTATTCTCGCTACACACAGCCTTCTGA